AAAGAGAGAGAGAGAGAGAGAAAGAGAGAGAAAAGAAAAGAAAGAAAAAGAAGGTAGGTCTCTTTGCAGAAAGCCTCAGGCCCTGAACTTGTGTGTCTTCTTCTCATTACTCAAGTGTCTGATTCCCTACATCTCACTTTTACTCACAGGTCATTTTTTTCATGTTTGTTTTTATTGCCCACCTTGAAATTATATTTCTATACTACCCTTTAAAAGTGAAAAATCAAATCTAATATTCCAATATTGGAAAGCATTCCCTCTATTTCTACAAGATTATTTACACACACACACACAAAAAAAATAAGCCTGAGACTGCCCAAAAGCTGAATTTCTACCAAGTAGGAACTTACTTTTATGCCATAAATTATCAAGGCCATCTCAAGGCAGAGGTGAGTTTAGTATTTCATGCTTTATGCTCCTTTCTTCTCCACCTACCAGATTTTTATTATGTGTGAAATTATATGAACAAAAACCCCAGGGAAACATTGAAGATGTGTATGCCATAGTAAGTGACGAGGTGACAGATGAACAGAGAAGAGAAATGGGGCAGCAGCACTTTAGAGTGGCTTGCTTCTCCTGTTTTTTCCTCCCTGAATCATTTTCTAGAGCCAGCATTGTGGCCCCTAAAATTTGGGGCTTAGGTCAGTCAACTTAACAAAGTTCATCTTCCTGGAGATAAAAGGATTTTCATCACAATCCCAGCTACTTTTCATTTGTTCCCACATTTTGTGGATTAAGAAACTGAGAACCAGAATTTATAGAGATCATTCAATCAATTGGCTTATTTTCTGGATTACAACAAATTGGTAAAATTCTTGAGAACCCTCTTTCTAATACAGATTGATTCTAATTTTGTCTTTCATTTTTTGTTCTCTTATTTTGTCTCATCCACCATGGATTTCCTGGTTTACTGCAGTCCTTAGCCAAATAGATGTCAGTGTTTTTATTCCATTATTGCATTCCCCTAAAACACATCATATGAAAAGTACACATAGCCAGTGGGATACTTTAATACGTTTATTGTTAGTGCTCTCTCATATTGATCAATTCTCAATATATGCAGTTGTAGGATTAAGAAGACAAAATCCTTTAGAAGAAGCTATAAAACCTAATCCTTCTGCCTCTGGATCATTTTAAACCACAAGTTGTAAGAGGAATGAGCATCTCTGGATTCGAGTTATCAGTGCAGACCAGATGGGAAGTCTTTATGAAATCTGATGTGAGAAGGAAAGCATTTTATAGGAAGAAAAAAAATATTTTGAGAAATAGCTACCAGCACCAGCAGCTAGCAATTCTAAAACTCTCAGGTCCTGCTAATGACCCCACCTACCTAATGTGCCCAAATAAAATAAACCCAGACCCTATGATAGTCTTTCCTCTGATGCAGCTGTTCTTTATTGCTTTATCAGATAATGAGCATCTGGTGATATTTCTAAGAGATTTGGGAAGGATCTGACTCAAACATTAAGGTATAGCTTTTTGGAGGGATAATCTGCTTAAGAAAGTTAAATTTGTGTCAAGATTCACATTCTTGGGAATTGAAGATAAGCCAGAGTGTCTTTTTGGAGTAGATGGTGAGATTCATAGGGAATAATTCCCAAAAAGTGACTTTAGCTACAATATCCTAATAATGTTCAGAGTTATGAATTCATTCATCTGCACTGGTAGGGAAAAGAAAAGGAGGAAGGAGGTGATATACTGGGTGTCTGCTATGTTTCAGGAACTAAGGTAAGAGCTGCACATACATTCTTTTATTTAATACTTACAAAAGCACTTCAAGGTATTATTGGCCTCACCATTCAATTATTCATTAAAAAGTTATATTTGTCATCAAACCACCTACCCTGCTGTCCTTTTTAGAGAAGTGTCAAAAGCTCAGAGTGAATGGCAGTGAATTCACCTGGGGGAAAAACTAGAGAGAAGGTTTGAGAAGTGTGTGTGAGTCGTGGAGAGGACCCTATGAAATTGGACTTTACCTCCAGGGGAATCATTAAAGAATGCTGATATTTTGTTTCATTTGAGATAGAGTCTCTCTATGTTGCCCAGGCAGGAGTGCAGTGGCACAATCACTCTGGCTATAATATGGAGCGGAAGAAAGTGGGCCTGGTAGAGGCAATGGCCACAATGAGAGCCAGAACCAGGCAGTAA